GAACCTGTAAAGATGGCTATGGTTGCATTGGATTGTCGTGCAAGGCAAATTACGACTGTACATCTTACGAGTACTGCTGCGGAGGAATATGTAGCTATGAAGAAGACTGCGATGATTTCGCTATTTGGGTCGTGCTTGGTTCAATTTTTGCTTGTCTGTTTATCATTTTGGTCCTCTTCATGCTTGTTGTCTGCTTTTGTCGACGTCGAAGAAGGTACTACGGAAGAGTTTTAGAAGGAGGAAGACTACCATCGGTAACAACTGTGGGAGACAGCAGCCTGTCTTATCCATATCTACCGTCTTATCAACAGAGCTATCCTTACTTTCCACCGCCACAATACGTTCAGTATCCGCCAAACAATGTTGGCCCAGCAAAGACAAGTGAAGCACCCCCTCCTTACAACCGTACCTCAGAGGAGGCATCAGGGGTGGTGAATACACCTCATACAAACTATGGTGCTGTGTCAAATTCTTTATAGAAACGCGAAGGTTTGATTTCATTTAAGTTATCAGTGTATCAAAGGACCAATATGTACAGAGGAACATATTGTTCTTATTGTTAGAAAAATGCAAGTAAGCCATGCACTTGGAACTTTGATCCCATTTTTCATCTTCACTCTTTGCCTTAAACCTCTAACCTCTAAGAGTGACTAGCTTCTCATTTCTCTTCACCGTAACATTTCTGAATCAAACATTAAATTCACAGGATCAAAACAAATGATTGTCAGTGTAACAAGCTCTTAATTGTTAGACAAATCTTTCATGTCAGTAACCTTAGAAAATTTATAGAGAACAACATGATGATTATGCACAGTGATGATAGGGTTTAAAGTGTTAGGGTTGTCATATTTTTTTCCTTGGTAATTTGTATTTTTTTCTTAGTAAAGCATCAGAATTTTGACCTTTCAAATTTATTTTCAAAGGTTCCAGCTAAAGTAATTCAATAGGAATTTATGTCTTGATGGTTGTTACTTGAAGAAATAAGGGCTGAGATTCTTGATATCAATATGAATGACAGATAAATAATATAATTCCTTCTTCAAGCTTGTCTCTTGAAATTTCTACCAATCGTACATGAAAATGCCACATAAACTAAGTAAAGTGCAGCTTAGAGCTGAAAAACAAGTTTGCTCTGTCTAATTTCCTGATCGAACTGTTTGAATTTCAAAATTATTTAGATGTTGACCTTGAGTGTGAAGCAAAAAATTAAAGTAGGAACCAGACCTGATTGGAGCAAACCCTGGGTTAGCACAAAAAACAAAGATAAAAAAATGTTGCTGTGGCAAATAATGTGAGTTAGGACTAATTTTGATTTGTAAACTTGGCAAAAGGCAATAGCATACTGCACTGAACCTATAAGGGATTTCATGGATTTCTAAGGTAATATTTATTAATCACATTGGGAAGGGATTGTAAGAGATCTCTAAGGCTTTGTTGTTTATAGCAGACATGTTTGAATAAAAAGCAAGTTATATTTAAAGCTAATTTTATTAGTGGAAAGCTACAGCGTGGTTTTTGGTTTTTAATTAGTTTTGTTTTTCATTTAGTTCTGTTTTGTAACTAGTAGGATTATGGCACTCCAAAGCTATGATTGGAACTACTGTTAACTCTTCTTCGTAAACTTTTTCCCCCCAAATTTTATTCTGATTTAAAAGTAAGCATTGGCACTCAGCTCTTCTGCCAACCATCAGGCTGAGTAGAATAAGAAACTGATGGTTGGATGTATCATCTGCCAAGAAATATGCCAAATCTATGTACCATTTGACAAAGTGGAAGAGCTGGAAATGAGAATGTAAAATATTCACAAAACTTGATACAAGGATAAAGTTATGACTAATTAATCAATTTTTTTGATTGGTAAATTTCCAGTTATTTCCCTTGCAAAGACTCAATATCAGCCTTCTTATCATAAGTGTCATATGAGGTGTCAAGGAGGCTGTAGTTATGGGCTGATTTTCAAAAGTCAGCAATTCCTTTGTTTTCTAAGGAAACTCTGGTATTGGTATTTTAAAAAACAAGCATCTGTCTAAGGCTTGTTCTGATAAGAACAACATCTTGAGGACCCCAAAATCTTTGAATTTTCAGATTTCAAATTTCAGACATCAGAGCAGGTGTTACTCATTAGGAAAGTTGTACAACCATATTCCAGTAGTTCTTAGTTAAAGATTCAACCTCTTGATCTTATTGCATACCAGAGAACAGTTATTTTTTCTGTTATAGTAAATATAAAACTGCTTTGTCACCTAATTTTAAATTAATTTAAGCTCATAATCCTTCTGGTACATTTCTGCACAATTCAGCCTTAAAAATTATTGACTGAGATAAGATTTATACAAAGTAGCACTTTTAAAAGTACAAAAAAGAGCTCGTTCTCTTCATTCCCTATCTCCAAAATCAGTATTAGGGAGAACATATGGGGGATGATGCCCTCATTTTTCGTTGATTATGAAACAGCGGAACAGTTAACGTGCTATATGGGTCTGGTTAAGATAAGTTTAATAAATTTGATGTGCTGTGAAGTGATTAAAAACTATCAACAATAGCTTATTGATGAATTCATAGCTGTCCTTATTAATAATTATCGAATTATTATATTCCGAATTGATGGTCCCGTGCCCCCAGTGCAATTAAAGTACGTGAAGGCGACGATGAATACAGCGTTTCAAGATCTTCTGCTCGCAACGATATATCGTTCAAATCGTACGTGTTGCCGTTATTGTCGCATTTCGCATCGTTTCCCATTCTGACCTCAGGAGTGCGACTATGTCCGGGGTCGAGATTGCCAAACTGGTCAAAATTGCATACAATTCCACTCCCTCTAAAAATACTCCTTGCACGGCCCGTTAAGCAGGACTTCTTCTTCACTACAAAGTGAAATTGATTTATCCCTCTCCTCTTTTACTTTTCTATTCAGTGACTAATCATGGCCAACAAAAGCAACTTCGCCCGCCATTTTGATGTAAGAAAACTTTACCTTCCTCTCCTAACTCAGTGGAAATTTGTTACGAAATAGTCATTTGAATCAATTTCGGCTCCGGCTGTCGCAGCGTTTTAAGACATGTTTTAACATGCTACGACATTTTTGCAGACGTATGTGTCAGTCGCAAGCGAGTTGTAAGTTTGATTTGCGCAAAACAGTTAGCGTTGCAAGCCTGTCTCAAGCTCGTCGCATGCAACAAAGTTGTACTCGAGTAAATCGGGTACAACTATGAAGTCATAGCTGTCCTTATTAAAGGGTAATTGACGGCAAATTTTTCCCCCTTTGTTGTCCCAATACATTCCTCCTACGTTACAGAATCTTTGATGAGCAAAAAGGCGATATTGTGCAAAACCAAATTTTCTACAAATTTTTTTTTAAAACGTTCCGATCCAGGCTAAGTGATGTGTACGTCACATGTGTATAAGGCAGTGAGATAGGTTATATAACGACCTGAAAGTAACAACTTCGCCCTCGCTGTCCAGCTACCGGCCGAGCGGTGATAAAAAAAAGATTTGTTTCATTTTGGTTCAAGCCACCATTTAGAGACTATGAAATACGAAAAGAGAAATAAAATACTTTCTCTGAAAAGGCTGAATTATCCGAAACGCGACGGATCGCGTATTTGTATTCAGGCACAGGTAACTAATTGCATGCCATGCCAAACAGCGGTACAAAAAGAAGAAATTTTGTTTTTCCTCTCGACCATTATCGAGTCTGTTACTTATAGAAATATTTTTTGGTCCAGGCCCAAAAGCATTTAACTTAAGATTTTGTCCGGTGTATATCTCTCTGACCTTAAACCCATCGGTTTTGGAGTGAGCGTCACATAAACGCAAAGTGTTGTCGCAAATTATAGGTGGTCTTTATCTGGTTTCGTGAACGAAACTCGTCTTCCCCGTTCCGGAAATGTTCAAGATTTATCCTTTCTCGATCTTTTTTTACTGAGACAAGTGAGAAGTACAAAAGAAGACTTCTTGCTGTTGTAACTTTTTGTTTATTTATTCCGACGCTTTTCGTCTCTAGCTGAGACTTCTTCAGGAATGATTACAACTAACATTGAACAGCATATATAGCACATTCAAGTGGCTAAGTTTGACTTCCAATAGAAGCGCCTTGTAATGTTTCTCATTTGCGACCGGAAAACATGATGAAATCAATCATGTCCCCAAGGTTACTCGTTTCAAAAGTATACAACTGTCGGCTGGGTGAACAGTAAATTACTCACGCTCGTTTATCGTAAACAAAAAAAAGCCTATAGCCTGAGAGAGGAAATCATTAAAGCACATGTCATGAGACTGCCCAGCACCCACAGTATAAATCGCAGTGTCTTAGTTAAAAAAACGAACCGAGTCTGCGACACAATCGTGCGACGGAAATAACAAGCGCGTAATGTTTCTCAAATTACGACCTGAACTTTAAACAACAGGATTTCGAGCGAAGAAAACGAAAACCAGGGAAGCGCTGTGTAGTGATGTTTTATAACATAACAATGCAGACGGAGTAAGCTCTCGCCAGTTTCCAGCTGATGAAAGTGTACGGTGGTAGTGGACACCAGGTTCGGGTCACATTGGCAGCGACCATTTCTCAGCTGAAAACTACAAAGGATTCTGTGCAAAAATAGCTGAATTTTAGCTCCAAGCTAGTATTAAAGAGTTTCTTCAAATCAAGCGTCTTCTACTCTTGGATGCTGCACAATGCATATGGGTTCTGCCTGCAGCTGTTCCTCTGTGATAGCCTTCAAATTTTTATTTTTCATTCTTGAGAGCAGATGTTTACCGGCTTCCTCCCTCCACACTGATTGACAGTTTCCACACTGGCACCTTGGGGTAAAGGGAAAACGAAGTTAAAAGTTAAAGTACGAATGCTATTTTTTGTTAATTTATGTTTTACAGTAAAAGCCGAGAAATCCTTAATCGTCAGCCAAATTCAATACAAGGACACTTAAAACCGATACAAACGCGTTGAAACGTGTATAATGTGGGAAACTACCTCAAAAATGAATCCGTTCAATCATAGTTAGTAGACTATGGTTCAATGCACCTCCACTAGCGTGTATGTTTATATTTTGACAGGCTTCGGAAGGTGCGTGCGTGTAGCACAAAATCACTTCGCTCCTTTGGAATTCTAGAGTCTGCACATTTGGTTTTATTTCCTTGATCTCTCCTATCTTCAATAAGTGACTGATTTTCAGATACTTTGTTTACAAGCGTAATGCACTCAGTCACCATTTGTCGCTTTCCTGATTGAGGCGGCCGCTACGCATGGGCTCTTGATCTCCTTCTGACTCTCGCGCTCTATATTCGTTTCGTCCTGGCGGTTCAAATCGCCAGGGTCTGATTAGACCAACAGGCTCATAAGCCCTATCATTACTTTCACCTTACACCGTCATCAAAATCTGAATAATCAGACCCCGAAATTGAACTGCTCTCACTCGAAATACTGTCCGCCATATTTTATTTTGTGAAGTGTACAGACGTGTGACGTACAGGTCATATGATCAAATTTCGAAGCGTTTATGGCGGATGAATCGGGAAGTTGCGACTAGGACAGTTTTCCGAGCAGAAATAAGTACAAGGAGGTGTTCGAAGTACCTTTTATCTGTTTCAATGTGTTACCTGAGGCATTTAGACAGTATTCCGAGAAAGTGACTTTTTAGCCGTCAGCTACCTTTTAATATTTAGCGGTAAATTCCGGAGGCTGATCATCTCAGGACAAACAAGGTACGTAATGGCGACGATCAACACAGCACTTCTTGATACTCTGCTCGTATCGTTCGAATCAAATGCATTGCCGTTATTGGCACTTTTTGCAACGTTCCCCATTCTAATCGAGTGCGACAATGTCCGGGGTCGAGATTGCCAAACTGGTTGCAGTGATGATCAGGTTTGCTGCCTCACCTGTTCCAACGATTATTTGACCTGGAGCAGTATTGAAAACCTAACTGAAAGTTTCAGCTGCAGTGTGAACTGTGTGAATGATACTAGCTGTCTTGGTTACCACTGTAGGTCTCGTTTAGACTGCGGCTCATCTGAACATTGTCGTAATTGGACATGCCATCGAAAAGATAACTGCTCAAATTTTAGTCTTTACGACGATTGCAAAGCATGTGGATGTCAAGAGTGTTGTCATGGTATGTGCGGATGGTCTGATGCCTTATGCAGTTCCTTAACAATCTTAGCGGTTTTTGGAATAATTTTATTCGCGGCCATATTTTTTAATTGCGTTCAGACGCTGCTTTGTCACGTATGCAACTGTAAGAGTGGTTCATCACAGCCGGAAGGAAGTAGGGCAAACATACCTCGAGACATAGAGATAATTGACTTGGAGAGAGAAACAGATGCACAAACGAGCAGCGACGAGCAAGGGTACTGTAACCAACAATTATTCGGCTACTCACCACCTCACGTTCCTTCTCCGACTTCCAGTAATGAGGTAGAGGAAGGCTCCAGACTTAGATGTTCAGGAAGCTATTTGAACCATGATGCTCTGTTGGAAGAAGATTTATCTTTTGCATCTATATGTATGCAACTTATAGCCGCATCAGATGAACCACCTTCCCCTCCCCCTCACAGGGAGGTGGTAGAGGAAAGCTCTACAACTGGATGTTCAGGAAGCTATTTGAACCATGATGCTCTGTTGGAAGAAGATTTAGCTAGGGAGATAAGTCAGCTCACACCTACATATATGCATCGCCTTGCAGCCGAAGCAAATGAACTACCTCCCCCTCCCCCTTACAGTGAGGTAGTAGAGGAGGGCTCTAGAACTGGATTTTCAGGAAGTTATTTGAATCATTTTGCCGTGTTGGAAGAAGATTTACCTTTGGAGAGAAGTCAGCTATCACCTACACATATGTATCACCTTGTAACTGAATTGAATGAACTACCTTCCCCTCCCCCCTACAGTGAGGTAGGGGAGGAAAGATTTGGGGGGGAGGGTCCGGAGCGCGACTAAACCACGTCACAGTGTTTGAAGAAAGTACTTCAAGCCAGCAACGTATAATCTATGTGCTTATTAAATAGTAGCATATGTGTAACCTCCCCCTTACAACCAGACAGCAGAGAAGAGATCCGGGGGTGAAGGCGATGCAAACCAAACCAGGGAGGAAGTTCCAGAGGATTAGGATTTATCGTGAAAGTATAAAAACGTGCAGTATGATGGAACCCATTTATAATATACTCAAACTTGATATCTTGTTCTTTATATCTGATTTGTAAACGATAAATATAACGTAGAAATACAGGCTACCCAGCCCCTCTCTAAATGGAGGAGCACACTTCAATAGTACCCAGTGCATCTCTAATGATTCCGTTTATGCTCTGGTGTCCTTAGTAAAAGGTTTTGATATTGTATAGGCATTGATACTAGCTACAGACACAAAAAATGTATTTGCATTTGAAAGCCTGTGATCTATATCAGTTATTAATCCCTAGAAATTGTTGTGTCAAAGCAGCTTCAAACCTCTGGCATTTTTATTACTCGAGATCAAAAAAATGACATCATTTGAATACAAAATGTTAGTTCTGGGCTGTCTAAGGGACTGATCATTACTCATCAATCAGCTGGTAGTGGAGGGGGGGGGGCGGATAATTTTGATTTTATCTCGTTAAAACTTACTCGACCCCTCTTTAGGCTCTGAAGTATTCTATTGATCCCTCATTGGCAGTAAATTCTCTATTATCCCCCTTTCATACTTCGTCAGCGAGAACTGACCGTTCCCCCTAAAAACCAATCTTTTTCAGGAACTGACTGCCCAGTGACGGGGATCCTAAGAATATTACAGAGCCTTACGTGTGTGGACTACATAAATTTTATCGCGATACAATCAAAATCCTCCGAGAGACATGACGTAGATAGAAATGTTATAGATGTTTTCGGTTCCGGAGTTACCTGGGCGCGTGCAATTACGAAACACAGCTTTCAATTCTCACGCAATGTGATATGACATTTGTGGTCCAAATCCAGTTTTGTAAAACTAAATAAGAACATCAAGAAAAAAAAAAGAGCACCCAGAAACTACTAGTATAGGCAGAACTGATTTTCAAGCATGTGAAAACCCCAGCAACAAAAGGTAAATGACCTAGATAGCTGGAGCGCATACACAGCTTGATTGACCAATTTAACGTAACTTTTCATGCTTAACAAAGCAGTTGCGTGAGCTTCCGATTATTCTCATGACCGGAAAAGTTGGGTGACGCTATATCGATGGCGTTCGTCGAGGGTATGAGTACACGGTAGTTTTGGTCAGCAGGAAAATTATGAAATGTGGGAAAATTGCGAAAGCCCGCGAAAGGATGCCATTTAAAAACTGAAGACAAGCTTTGATTAAGACACTAGAATGCGCAATGATGGCGGCTACTATTCAATCGTCTTTAAATTGACTTCCTTGAGGAAAACCTTGAAAATTGTTCAGTTGAAAACCAGTGCTTCTTGGGTTATTTCGATGGGAAAAGAAAGGAGTTCGAGAATATGTGTGAGAAGTTCTCATTAGTTCCACATGCCTTGTGAAGAAGGCCTTACACTCAAAGTGGTTAAATCGCAAGAGGGTTTCGAAAAATGGTGGGCAGTTTCTTTTATCTTTAGCTGATTTTTTGCCTTTATCAATTCGGTGTGGGCCTTGTAGAGACCTGATCTTTTGACCTTTTGTAAAAACTTACGCAATGGACCGGGCGGAAAGGTGTTGAAATATTTAAAAATATTTCATATAAAAGAGAGCCCTTGGAAAACACTCTAGGTACGTAATCAGTGTTCTCCCTTATTTTAAGCATGACAGGTAAAATAAATTTTCAAACCGGTACAGCAATCCTTTTACCCGTGGAATTTTCAAGAATTCCAAGCAATTTTAAACGGTAATAAGAGGCACTACAGGCGGTAATTGGTAAATGCTGCGTAATCTAGTATACCAAAACCAGACTGTCAAAACGTATGGGTTGGATAGGGCCAATAAAAGGAGCTCTCCTCAAAATCATAGCTTCTTTTTTAGCAGGGTGAATGATAAGCTTATTTTCCCGTACTCCATGAGATCTGATCCATTACAGAATTTAAATTGGAGACAACACGTTCAACATTAGGGCCTATACAATAAAAAGTAGTATCATTCGCATACATTAAAGCATTTCCTGTCGACACAAAACCGGGAACGTCATTTACATCCATTTACTTCAGAATTCCCCATAAACGTAGGGTGTGTACAATCCCTGAAATTCCCGTTCGTTATTTCACGAATCATTTGACGTTTTAGTGTTAACATGTTTTTCGTATTATGCAAGTAAAAAAACATTGAACTTCTCTCTACGGAGTTAACGCTGCAAGGAGAATCTCCCTCAAAATTTACTTTTTAAGAGACGACGTTACCGTCTAAAATTCAAACGTTATTGTTAGGCTTATTGGCACATTGATAACCTTGTAAATAGTTCAAACATACTGAAGACATTTTTATTAGTTTTCGTATATCTTTATCTGTGAGCCACATATGAGTATACAAAAACAGAGAAGTATAGATTGCTGGCTTGTTTTAGTGAATCTAGGATTTAGGGAATCGCTACGAACTACGCGATCATGCATTTAATAATACTTCTTCCTCTCCTAATGATTGATTGTGGAAGAAAATAGTAATGATATAATGCTATTTTATGTGCCGTTATTAAAAAGATTTGTATTCACATTTAGCTTACTGGCAAAAATTCCGCGAAAATTACTCAAAAGAAATATATCTCGGTAGTTATTTTTGAGAACCACAAAATACTTAAACAAAATCAAGAAACTGCTGCAGGACCTCAAGGCTCCTTTAATCAGTACGATCTTGTACATATCAGGTTTGAACTTTTCGTGGAGAACAAGTGCTGGAGCTTACATGACGTATTTTTAATTTGACCGCTGTACTATAAACTTGTGTGTTCACTCTCGACGAACACCACCCGGAAAAGTTGAAGTAAGCGGTACATCCCAGTGATGTCGAAAGCACACAACTACACTGAGATCTTTTAAAAACAGAAATAAGGAATTTTTGAGACATGGTTAAATCATCCTTCGCTTTTTTTGTCTATGTATTACATTTATTTGTTGCTGTGAGTCATTCTGGGTGCTCATATCAGAGCGACTGTCAATCCAACTACGTTTGCTGCAGCCATCAGTGTATTTACGACTCTTCTTGCGTCGGAAGGAATTGCGCTTCTCAGTCAGACTGTGCGAGCGAGGAAGTGTGTTGCGGCAGTGATTGCAGATATGGCAGTGACTGCAATGGGTTCCCTTGTAACGCCGACAGCGATTGTGGTCAGTTTAATCTTAACTGTTGTGATGGCACTTGTCAATATAACGACTGCAATGACGCCGCGGTTTTCTTTGGTTTAATATTTGGATCACTTGTCGTGCTTTTCATGTTCCTTATGTGTATTTCCTTTGCTTGTCGTCGTCGAAGAGCACTTGATCGTGGCAGGATAATCGTCGGCCAAAGAGTGACAACGACTACTACAGTAAGATCTGCAATGCAGAGTAGCTCACCCTACCCCGAACAGAATCCACCCACCTACCAACAAGGCTACCCAAACTACCCCCCTCCACAGTATGAGCAGCATCAGACAAATAGGCCTCAGCCCTACAACCCTGAACCAAGCACAGCAAGTGAACAACCTCCCCCTTATAGTGGAGGACCTCACGGCACTTCAGGGGGAGTTTACACTCGTAAACCTTCTTATGGTTCTGTGCAATCACTACCACCCGTGTAGTGACATGAATAGTTTTTTCTGGTGTAGGAATAGATGAAATGGTATTCAAGGTTCTAGAACCCCCAAAAGGACCTCTTGCTGCAGCGTTTAGATCACCCCTGATGAAGGCACTAGACAGGAGTGTCGAAACGTTGGGTCTATGAATTGTAACTTCTTCGGTTACATTCATTAAATCTGCAAACCAGAGTAGCATCAAACTATGTCTGATTGTCCACCTGGTTGCTGTGTGAACTTTAATATATTTTGAGTTAGTACCAGCTTTCATACAAAAACCCTTCTCTCTAAACTGTGGGGTCTAGTGTAGATCATGCTAGTATTCCATTTTTAGTGCTTCAAGTCCACGGCCGCGGAGGTCGTCCATTTCTTAGTCAGGCCGGCCACTGAAGTGACATGCGTTACTGAGAAGGGATGGCGCAAACGCCGAAGGAAACGCAGTGATGATTGTCAGTGACCGGGAAATAATTAACGATAAATAGTTGAATAAACCCAGGTGAATCTCTGGCATACGTTTCTCAGTTGTATGAATCAGTTTTCCAGAATCTATGAAAATTTTTCTTGTTTTTTGCTCAGAAACAATGTTTTAGATTTCATTCATCAGGGTACTGACATATTCACAGACAAAAACATGGCTAGAGATAGAGCACTTTGTGTTTTTCAAGTTACTATTCTATAAATAAACATGACCACAAACTATTCTGTTTGTAAGGTGAACTGAGCGGATAACATTGCTTAATGTGCGTAAGCTGCCTACGAAGCGACGCAGATGAGACACGTGCAGTATAACACAACTCTCAAAGATCAATCAGTTTACCTTGATCTTGCAACGCTTGTTGGTCAAAAGTGAGGCCCGAGTCGCAAACTGAGAGCACAGCGCTGATTACAACCAGATGAACACATCTAGAGAAGAGTGAACGGACGACAACTTTTGTGGCAGTGCTATTTATCGCGAATGCGAAAAACAAATTTCCAAAATAGCTTCCGCCTAAACTGTAATGAGGTGTGCTTTCTTTTTCAACCAATTTTTCTCGCGTGGTACGGGGAAGGGGGATTCACGAAAGTGATGCACAGAGTCGTATGATGGCACTGCAAAATTATATGCGATGACGTCAAAGTCCAAAATCCGCTTGGAGTGACGTCAAAGGCTTACAAGAATCCCCTAGGAATTGTGGGACATCTGGTGTTGACACTCCACAAAGTGAAGAGGAAGCAAGAAGAGATCGTGTTAACGGGAAAATACGGTTTTTTCGAGAGATGATCAGATCTTCTTTCGTGGTTTTTGTCCTTGTTAGCCATTACTTTGTTACAGTGACTCCTGCTTGGTGCTCATCTGGGGCATCTGGATGCTCTTTCAACCAAGTTTGCTGCAACCATGAGTGTCAATTCGGCTCTTCTTGTGTTGGATTGAGTTGCACTTCTCAGAACGACTGTGGTAGCACGGAAAGTTGTTGCAACAATGAATGTACAGCGGAAACCGACTGCTCAGGATCGGATTGTAGTTCCGACCTCGATTGTGGTCAGTCAAATATCGTCTGTTGTAATGGAGTTTGTCAATATAATCGTTTTAATTGGAACCCGATAATTTGGTTAACATCTGGATTACTAGCTGTGATCTTCATGATTACTGTGTGCATTTTCTGCGCTTGTCGCCGTCGAAGAACACTTCATCGCGGCAGAATTATTGTTGGGCAGAGAGTAACAACGACAACTACGATAAGATCTGCACCAGCGAGCACCCAACCTTACCCCACACAGGCACAACCTTACCAACAAGGCCACCCATACTATCCCCCTCCACAGTATGAGCAGCATCAGACAAACAGACCTCCACCCTACAACCCTGGACCAAGCACAGCGAGTGAGCAACCTCCCCCTTATACAGAAGGACCACAGGGAGGAGCAGGGAGAATTTACACTCCCAAACCTTCATATGGTGCAGTAGCATCAGCGCCACCTATGTAAGGCAATGAATTGTTTTACCTCAACCTGGTTATATAACTCTAAAAACTTTTACATATCTTTAAGAACATAAACCCTTGGATTATCTGAAACTGTTTTGATAGAATTTTTTATGCAACTGATGAAAAGGAAAAGGTAAAATGGTGTGGCTTATGTTACTTTACCTCAGCCAAGCGTTTACAGAAAAACCTGATCATTTTGTAGTCAATATGTGACCAAGCCATTGGAACAACAGGTGAAAAGTGAGGTAGTGTGGGAAATTTATTAATGTTGTTTGAAACTAAGAGTAGAGTTCAAAGTTCATGTGAAGTCCACTGTTTAGAGCTCAAATGTACACTTTGAATTTGAATTTGGCTCAGGATTTGAAGTTTGAATTATTAATTATCAAAGAAAAATGAAGTTTTGCAAGGAATTGTGCAAGTGAAAACTAATTTTTTTCTTGTCAGTCTTGTTTGCTAGTAGCACCATGGTCAAATTCAACCTAAAAACTGAATTTAGGATGGTAGTATCTGAAAGAAGTAAAAGCATTTTTCTTGTTTTAATTGACTTCAGCTACTTGAATCCTTTGTGTTAAAATTGCATATTTAAATATTTTATGTATAGAGATTGAATTGTACATTTAACTTGGTCCACTCTAGCTGGCTAATGAGTTAGTGTATTTGTTCAATGGAATTGTTGTTTGAAAAAGCTAGAACTTTAAACTTGAAAATCAATTTGTTATAACTGTGGGCTAAGGCTAGTGAACCTCCTCATTCTATAAATGGTGGCTGTAATTTCATAGGATTTTAAATGAAGGAACTGTTAATATTACAGCCAGTCTGCCCCAGGTTCTCAATCAGTGAAGAAAAGCAAAAGAGTGGGTTGGCCAAAAACAGCATTCAGTAGATAGATGGGAGTGCAAGCCATTTTCCTTACATATATGGCTGTTACTTCCACTGGCATGAAAATTTTGCACACTTCTTCACTTTTTTTCTCTCTTTGAGAACTTGGCACAGGTTTGTAACAAACTGGCCCTAATACAAACTGAAATATAATTAAATTACAAAATCAATTATTCAACTTGAAATATAATTCAAATTTAATTCAAACTGAAATATAATTAAATTACAAAATCAATTATTCAAACTTGTAGCAAATAGTAGGGCTCCAAGCATTCAAATTGTCAATTTTTCAAGGACTCACTCCCAATCTGTTTGATGGGTTTGCTACTTCAATTTGTAACACTGATAGTTTCTGGCTCATGTAGTTGAAAGTATACTCTAGCTGGTAGGGGGCTTTTAGAAGGGTAATTGGTTGTCTGCCAATTATGAGAAAGGAGTAGGCAGAGATATTGAATTAATTTTGTTTATAATAGTATCAATATTTTTTGGGTGGCTCTTTCTGTTGGAACTTTTTAGCCTTACCTTTCCACTCTATAAATTTAACCCTCTAACTCTCAGAAGTGATTAACATGTAACTTCTCCCTATAATTTCCAAACATTTTCCAGAAAAACAGGTAATGAGAATACTCAAACTTACCAAGGAGAAGTTTTTACCCTGATCAAACACCAAATTCTTGTGACTCATTTACAGGGAAATGCAAATGCAAAACCAATATCCACATGTAATAAACAGTCCAAAGCTAAAGCAGTCGAATGCATGGAGGTCTAATTCAGTACCAAATGTTTATAAAAATCTGAATCACAGGGTAAATCGTTTTAAGTCTAATCTTTCTGGGGATATAGAAACAAACCCTGGTCCAGTTATTAATTCTACTAAAACAATTCAAGCTCCTTACAGTTGAGACAATATGGCAATGTTTGGGTTAAATGCTGGTACACATTGTGTAGCCATGCCACTTGCTTTCCCTCATATATAACAAGAGGAATGGTATTATATCCTCAATGGACTTGGTTAATATCATGAACATTGATGATGAATCGTATTCTGGTCTATCTAGTCTATCCAAGCAATCCTATTAACCCTTAATGCCCCAACATCAGTATCCAGATTCTCCTTTCTCTTCTTTATATGTTTCCTTTAGTACTGACATGGAGAATTAGTTTTACAATCGTAGATCATTTCCTCTATTCTCATGATATCAACAAATGATTTAGCCATATTACTGTACAGAGAAATTAGATGCTGGTCACTCTCAGAGTTTAAAGGGTTAACTGTTAACAGAAGTACCTGAAATGATAATCGTGTTTAATATTAATTATCAGCTTCAATATAGTCCAAGCTATACTGGTACTTTACATGGTACTTGTGAAGTACAAGATTTCAATTATTGTAAGTCATTTGCTAATGCTATGCAGGCTTTGCTGGGACAAAATTATAATTCCTTTCTTTTAACAATCCTTAGTACTTCAGTAGATTTTTACAGTAATGGTGATGGTAAGTTTAAGATATTTGATTCTCATGGTAGAGATTCATATGGTATGTGCCATCCTTAAGGAACTTGCGTGCTGTTAGAAGTTAACACCTTAAATGAGCTGATAAACTATTTTGAAGGTCTTTATCAAAATCCAAATGTTTCATTTGAACTCAAAAGTGTACATATTAATGAAAAACAATGTGATATGACAGTTAATTCTGATTAACAGTTGTCAGCTGTCCCCCTCAAAGCAAATCATGCAGATGCTGAAATTACAACCATTCATATTCCCTTGTTATGCTGTTGTGCCACATCTTTTTATAGCATTTGTTTTTCCATTATCAAATATTGTGTGTATTGGAATTCACAGACTCTAGATAGAATCACTGACCATGCAAACAAGTTTTACGAAGAAAAACTCAATGGCAATAACAATCCATTCACTATCAACAATTTCCCAAGGACACTTCAAATATATGATGTAGATATTAATATTGCCTTCAATTTGTAGAAACAAGGAATACTGTGATTTACATCTCTTGGTAGCAAATTATTGCTTCAGAAGTTAATCACAGACAATACTAAGGATAATACTGGGTTTTAAATGTGGATTTCAAATTATTGCTTCAGCTGTATTTTTCAGCACAATAATATGAAAAGAAAAGCAAAAAGTGTTAAGTACTATATTATAAGATTCACTCTTAATGGCACAGCTTTTCAAAGTAAGATTAGGGGAGGTGCATATTATATTTGCTCTGTTTGTAACAGAATACTATACTGAAAAGCTGCTATTCAGTTAAAAAGACAAATGTACAACACTCAGCAAAAATTATTTACTGAGTTGTATACCCATGATTCCTTTCCGTCTCGGAAATTGACCTATCACCCATCGCCTGATGACAACTTTTTTCGAAGTAGATGTACGCCCTTGGCCAGCCTTGAGCTCACTATTTCAGTATACAGCCGTATACACCCGTAGTATCACTACAATTGATCTCAAGGATCCAGTACTATCCACATTTCTAGTCTACTCTGCTCATAGGTTCTACTTTATCTAATCATTGGTCTTCCCTGTGGTACAACTAAGTCTTTGTTTAGCATCGTTTAGCGTTAGATTCACCAGACGCACGCACATTAGTATGACAAAGGACTTTCTAAGAGCCACGATATGCCAGAGCCTTCTTCTTTAATAGTGTCTGAAACTTCTAGTGCGTTTACCGGTATTTACCTGCAACCACTTTCACTTCTTAGTTATCAACGAAAGGGCGATCAAATTCGTCAATTCTACTAAGAGTCTGAATTCAATTACGAAATAACGAATAAGAATCTTCTTGAAGTTTGTCCTCTTGGGTAAATGTCATCGAGAGGTTGTTGTGGAATGAACAGGAAGCCTTGTGGTTATTTGGTCCGTCAGTTCCGCGTAAACCCAACTCGACTCGATGTTTCTCTGATCCTTTTAAAAGTACAGTTTTTTACTTTGAAACTAAGAATTTTATCAAACGACGTGTCGCGGACGGATGAAGTCAATGCCTGAAATCAACGATCCCAATTTTTCTCAGTATTCAGCTTCTCAATTTATTTATCAAACTTCAGTGGTTTGATGTCGCGTGTGATTTTCACGCAGCTGTTTTTTCAGAAGAATGACAATAAAATAAAATGACGATTGAGATTTCGTATCATAGTCAAGGCAGCTGCTGATAAATATGAGAACTTACGCGCATACACTCATTTCACAGTGCATGTGAACTGTTTTAAACCTGGTATGGTGACCGCTGAGAAGCGACTGCTTGTTCAGGTTTGGCACTGTTTGACTCACATCAATCTCTTGGAGAGACTGTTCAAGTGTTTCAAACTTGACGCAACGAGCTTGATATCTGCGACACACATAAGAGGGAAGGACAATTCACTTTGTTTGCCGTACTTGGCTTATCGAGTAAAATCGTTTGTTTTGCCAAAAGTTCACTAATTATGTTATAATTGGTATGATTGGTAACCATCACTTGGTGATTTTACAGATCTACTAAATTATACTGAGTTTTGAGTGAAGCACAGAGATTCTTTTAAATCTCAATTTTCCGAGTTAGTCGAATCATTCAGTGTAAGAAAATCGAGATCGTTCGCCTCATTCTTTATTCAGTCTGTCTGTCTCTCTTTTATTGGGGACTAACAATTTATAGCTTTAATGAAGCATTCAGTAGTTAGCCGGAAGCTTGTCATATACAAAAAAAATCATTTACCGGAGTTTCATCGCATAAATACAAGCATCTAGGATAAGAATGGCATTTGCTTGACATTCGTTGAAAAACATCAGGAAGTCTCGAGCAACGATGGAATCTTCCCAAAAGAGTGAGTCATCAAATTGCTATCACTCTCAGGTCTTGAGAGGGCTGTGTCATTTTTTTCAGCCAATCAGCTAACTTGAGAATCGGCCTGTATTGGTTAAGATGTCGAATTCTTTCGCATCACATACCCACTTGTTTGTTTGGAGTTTGCAATTGTGGTTCCACCGAGAAAAGGGTGTAGACATCATAAGGATAAAGATGTCTTGTCCTGAAGATCCAATACCACTTTTTATCTTTAAAGGTGAAAATCCTGTTACGGCAACGGGTAAAATCATGACTTGGTTTGACGAGTCCAGTGAAAGAGAAGACGATCGCGCTGGTGATGAAATA